ATTTTAGTAGCACCTACCCTAATGGGCTTTCAATGTGGCAGGGAGGGGAGAAATTATTCACTCTGTATTTTTTCAAACAGGGTATAGAGCTGGGTTGCCTACCCTCCCTAACTTCTTGAATTGTTTTCTATTTCATTGATGTACTTGGATTTTATTGCGTTTTTGTGTTTTATATTGCACCCTGCTCTTGGACTACTTTTAATAAACAACAGTGGTGCTATTTTTCTAGGAAAAGAGGTGCTGGAACTGAGTTCTGGTGAGTTCCGGCTGAAAAAAGTCCTGAACAACAGGCTAAAAATGGTTAGCAAAATCACTTAAATAATGCAGATGGGGCCCTGAGAGAAAACTCCTAATAACACTTTACTGAACGAACTGAACAAAAACAGTGTATAACCTGAGGTGAAACAGAGAAGTTATTATTATTATTATTATTATTATTATTATTATTATTATTATTATTAATTCTATACCACCCTTCATCCGAGGATCCCAGGGAGTTCACAAAGAAAAATACAAAATGAGAATACAAAATGCATAAGAAAACAAAACAAAACAATACCCCCTCCCCATTGACACAAATACATTTAAAAAGCCATCACATCTTAATTAGCCGAATGCCTGGTTGAAGAGAAACATTTTCAGCTGGCACCTAAATATATGTAATGAAGGCACCAGGTGAGCCTTCATTTTGTCTTTCTTAGCTCAGGCCTTGTACACAGCAGAGAGACATGGAACTGAACATACAGAGGACAGAATTAAGCAGCCACTCAAATCATGTGTCGTCTCAGAGAGTATTGTGCCACTCCTGACTAGTTGCTGAGAAACAACACCTTGGTTAGCTGACTTACTAATAACAGAATTAACCCTTCAGTTACACACTGAATGATCTCTGCTGTTGTACATCCAACAAAAAATCTCTATATGAAGAAATAAGCAAAAAGATATAGCATTCAAATGCTTTGGTATAAAAAAATGGGCCTTACAGAAAAGGGGTGCAAATCAGGTAGCACAGATACATACAGCACAGTACAGAATACTGTGTGGAATTTGCCTCCCTGCTTTTGACCCAGCCTTGTCTTTAATTGTTTAAATGAGGCCAAGCATGGAATTATCTGTAGGCATAAAGAAATTGTTCAGCCTGGCACTGTGCAAAGCTCCTAAAATGTCTTATTGGGCAGATGTTGGGTTAAAAGAACAAGGTTATTTCTTGTTTCTATAGAAACATGGTAGCGATGAGATAGGAAGAGGATATCTTTCAAATGCACAGTTTAGGAGGGCTAGCTCATGAGAGGACCAGAAGCAAAACAGAAGACCGTAAGTGAATAATTTGTGCCCCTATCAAACCAGCAAGAAGAACTAGGCTGGTTCAGATGTAATGCTAAGCCATGGTTTAGTGTCCAATGCATAAACATCAGACTCATGTGAGTCCCTCCTCTGGTGTTGACCTGAATTTCTTTTCTTTTCTTATTTCAGTGTTATGGTTTGTTCCAGGGGCCCAGATGTAGCTGGTCTAAGCTCCAATGATCCCTGACCATTGGACATGCTGACTGGGGCTGAACAACATGTTCTCCACCTCTGGTTTATTGAAACAAACATTTTCATAAACCATGGTTTAAAGTTGGTTTGTGAACTTCAGTTAAGACTAACCACAATTCTTTGTTTATTATACTCAAATTTACATTTGGGTGTGGTTAGTAAAAATGGAAGCAAAAGCTTCCAGTCACTTTGTGGCTTCCCAGAGGGCCAGAGGGGAGCAGGGAACTGGTGAAGCTCTTTCACATAGCACTAACTCAGACATTAATGTAACATCCAAACTCAGCCACTGTCTCAGTGTAGACAGCAAAACGAGGTTAAGGAAGTGTAGCCCTGGTTTATTTAGCTCTGGTCTAAATTGACAAATGGAAGTTTCTGACAGGCCATGCAGTATCAAAACAAGGTTTTTCTTAACACCATCTCTCCTTGAGTCAGCAGTTGGGAACCTTGGATCACTAACCGCAGAGATTGCACCCGTCCGGGTCATTTTGTATGAACCACACCGACTCTGCCCGTGCCTGATGTCATATGAAAATCCAATTCAGGAAAGTTTTTCAACAGTTCTTTTAACAATTCAAGCGACAGCTGCAAAGGAAGAATGTTTTCAGCTGCAACTTGAATTTTAAAAGTGCTAAATTTAAGCTGGGTTTGCGAAAAAGTAAAGTTCCTTTGCAGCTGTGCCTTGAAGTCTCCTGATATCATATCAGTCTCCTGATATCATATGATGGTGTCCCCATCTATCTTATCAAAGTGGTCCATGGAGAGTTGACCACTTCTGGATACAGCCCTGTGGCTAAAGCCAGTTCCCCACTCCTGATGTAAGCCTAAGCTTAAGTAGCTAAACTCAAAACATAATCTTCTCCAGTTTAGCTCCCATCTTACTACCCTCCCTGCATTATGGCAAGTTTTAGATTGTAAATTGCTCAGAAGTTGGATATACATTTCTGCTGTTTCACGAACAGCACCATACAAATAAATGAACAAGCAGCATTGGCCAAACATGCTGCTTGTCTTGCCAAGCTGAGAGGCTGCAATGGTGGAGAAGCTTCCCTCACTGTGGTTTGCTAAGTCTAGCTGGGTGGGAAACTTACTGCTTTCAGATATTGATGGACTACAACTCCCACCATCCATGACTTTTGACCATGTTGGCTTTTGCTAATAGGAATGGGGAAACCCACAGCAGATATAATGTAAAGCCACAGTTACTGTACATGGTTAATGCAAACCATTGTTAGCAAATCCAATTCAGCCCTAGATGTCACATTGTGATGTTCAGCCAATCCTTGGTTTACGTATTCCTGTGCAATACTTAGCCATGTCTAAGAATGGTTGTAGGGTTTTCAGAGTTGGCTACTTACTTCTGGTTTTGGAAACAGTGCAATGGAATGGAGAGAGCGTTGGTTTGACCTTGCAATCCCTTTTCGATATCTTGTAAAACCAGTCACTGCTAAGTGCTATGTCTGTGTAAGGCCCGTTTGAGTCAGCCTTTGAAATCAGTTCAATATAATGTTATTAACTAAAATAGATACCCCAATGCTTGCGGAGCATTGTTATGTTTCTGTAATTATATTTCAGGCTCAGCATAAAGTCCAGCTTCAGCATTTGCCAATGTCTGCAGCACAGCAGGCTCAAATAGTCCCGAGGAATATCTAGAAAGTTGGAAAGGAGCCATCTTGGTTTGACATTTATCTTGAATGGAAGCAGCAGAAGCCCCTGTCTATTGGCATCAAAATGGATGAGCTGGTAGCAAGCCAATCTGTGGTTTTGAATATTAGATGGTCTCTAGCTTTCTGTTTTTATAAACACATCCTCTAAATGACAGGGCGATGTTTGCTGCAATCTTCCTCCCCAGTTGTTCAAGCAGAAGGAATCAGTTTGCAAGATGTAAAAGCCTCGTCAGATCTTGGAAACATCAAGAAAAACATAAAATAAATGGATTAGAGGATTAGACACTACATTTTGGAATGCTCATAGCAGATTTCATAACCAGCAGGGTTGTAAACACTGTAACATGTTATGAATGGAACATGCAATGAAACGGGAGCTCTTATAAGGACTGTTGCAAATGAATCATCTGTTTGCACCATCTTTATCAGCCTTCCCCAACCTGGTGCCCTCCATTTGTTGTTGGATTATAACTTCCAACTTGCCTGATTGTTGACCATGCAATCTGGAGGATACTGGTTTTAATGCTGGTCTTTAATATTGTGATGCTGAGTGGATCAAGGCAGCCACTTACTGACTTGGAGTCACTTTAAAAAAAGTAACTCCCCAGTGGGAGTTCTGCAAATTTAAGGAAGCGTGTGCATGTGTTTGTCTTAACCTGGGAATTCAAGTAGTTAGGCTCTGATACCTTCTCCATGTACTACCATTATTTTGCATCTGCTATAAGCCTAGTGGAATGAAATTTCTGCTTCAAAGGACTATTCTAGGATGCAATACCACCACCCTGCTTTGGCAGTCAGGTGACCTCAAGAGCCAATCTCTGTCCATCAGGTCCTATAACAGTTACAGGTAATGAACTACAACTCCATCATCCTTGACTATTGAATATGTTGGCTGGTGTTACAGTCCACATTGGCTACTCCTGGCCAACAGAGACCTAGGTTCAGAGCTTCTGCCTCAGAAGTATTTATCTATGATGTGAATACATTGCTCTAAGCTCCTGCTCCTTGTTCTACTTTAGGTTTTGACTCTTCTGACCCATATTTGCTGCTCTGAAACTCAACCCTTCCCTATTTAGGAACATATAACTTCTTCTGATACATTTGGGCCGACAACTTGCTCACCTTCTGATCCCAGAACCTGAAAATCTGGTTCACATCCAGACTTGGCTGGAAAAAACTAGAGGAATAGTCATTCATGTTTTCCCTTCTACATAAACATAACATGCAACATGCATTCTCCATACTGTGGTCAGTCTACATGAAGGCTTGATTCACACAGTTAATTGTTCCTCCCCCGAGAAGCAGAGAATAGATGATGCAGATAAATCATTCATATGGACCTCTGAAAGGAAGATTGCTGTGTTTTGGTCCTCATATCATCCTAGGAAATCCATAGGTATGACCATGTTGGAATGTGAACTGAGTTAAATTTCATCCTCATCCATAATTTTGAGCTCCTGTCACAATGCTAGTCTCTTGAGAAAGAAACAAGCTCTTCTCATACTAACCCATGCCTGTGAGGGTTATGCAGAGCGCAGTCATAGAATAGAATCATAGAATCATACCCCCTGCCATCGAGTCCAACCCCCTGCCAAGCAGGAAACACCATCAGAGCACTCCTGACATATGGTTGTCAAGCCTCTGCTTAAAGACCTTCAAAGAAGGAGACTCCACCACACTCCTTGGCAGCAAATTCCACTGTCGAACAGCTCTTACAGTCATTTATGATATCTGTAACAAGTAAGTTTGAAGGTAAATAGCAGCTTCTTATGTGCATGTGGAGGGGAGGAGATGGTTAAGATGAGCAAGTATGGGGCCCCACTGCCTTGGATGTGCTGTGGTCCAGATGTGGATTGGGGTGCACTAGTAGCTTCTGTTAGTTTAAAATAACAGATGAGTAGGATGCCATGAATGGCATTCAAAGACATGGAGAAAGTCACAACAGGTTTGATCCTGAGAGGTAGCGCACAGAACATTAGATTTGGCGGCCTCACAAGGCTAGGATTCCTGGGGCCTTTTTAATGAAGTTGTGACAGTGAAACCCGATTAACCTTGTAGTGCAGACATAGCATAAATAGCATTGCTTCCACCTGGTGCTGATATTTAAGATATATATTTTTTAAAATCTGCAATTAAAACGGTTCTCTTTCCTGTTCCTTTTTCGTGTGTGCTTGGAATCTCTGCATGAGGGCAGATCGGCCGAGTGACTCCTGTGTAATTACAAAGAGTTGAAGAAGGTCTTTGAAGTTGCTTCCAGCTCTGTAGTTCTATGATTTACAGCCTGTAGGCATCTGTAAACCATTCAAGCCAATGTATCCCCTCCTAAGCCTGCTTAGTCCAATTGATTTTCGTATTGCCTTAGCAAAAGCTGGCATGGTCCCACTGACTTCAGTGGGGCTAAGCTCATTAAAGTAGTTTGTCAATTTTGCTGTGAGCTTCATTAATGGATCCTGGTTTCTTTAGAAGTTTCGGAATGTATGAATTCTGTGGTGTTTCATATAGAGTATGTCCTGCTTACACACTTCTTTGAGATAGCTGTGCATTCCTCTACATGCCTACCAAGAAGTAAATTTCTGTTGAGTTCAGTGAGCTTTACATCCAGGATAGTTTATATAAGACTGCAGCCTAAATTTTTCTGAGTTCAGTTAGATATACTTGTGAGTAAGGATGGGTAGAAATTTGGTTCACTTCACATTTTTATGCAAACCCATGTAATTTGTACTTCTAATTTATGAACGAAACAGTGCACAAATTGTTTTGCTGCTATCATTCTGAATTCACTCTTCTCTGAAATTTGCCATGCGGTTCTTCAACCAAATAAAATGTACCAAAGGCAATGCATACATTAGGAGAAAGTGTGTATTGCAGTGTATATATTACTGAAATACAACATACAAAAATGTGTTATGGCCAGGGAAATTACTTCCAGAAACTTGTATATGCAGTGAAATTTTACACAAAACCATGCATTTTACAAGAAATTCACACTGATGATGAATTTTCATGAGGACTCTCTTTAAAAAAAAAAAAATCCTCACACTGATGCAAAAATGTGGTGAAATATATTTAGGACTGGAAAAATGAGAAACTGGGAGGAAAAACAAAATTGACACACACACGCACACATATATGTTTGATACACTGTAGGTGGGCAAACATGTTTCTTCGTGCTAAAGCTGTTGCTAGAGCAGACCTGAACAACTTGTCGCCCATGTCAAAAACAGCCCACAAAGTTGTCACTTCTCCCCAGTTTTTGCAGTCTCAGATTACCAGTAAAAAACAAAGCAAGTAGAGTTCATTCCTTGATATCTCCAGTTAAAACATTTCAGGTAATGATGCCAATATGTATTGCACTGACCATTGGTAAATAACAAGAACAAAGAATTATGTAAGTTCCACACGTATAGATTTATTTATTTATTTATTTATTTATTTATTTATTTATTTAGATTTATTTCAAATCTAAATATTATGGGTGGGAAATGTTTAGATCACATTAACAACTATGGACAAACAATCTGTTTCCATGCCATGAGGCTTTTGCATGTGTGTGTGATGTGTGTGTGTTCACATATTAATCCATGTCGTTCCATTTCTATCTCAATCTGTAATTTCTAAAAATTTGCACCAAAGTTCACATTTAAGTGCATATTTTAAATATGTCTTTTTTTCAGAAAAATGCATTTCTAAACACCTTATCTCAAAAATATGCATTATAAATGTATGTTGATACTTTTTTCCAGTCAAGAACTACCATCAGAATATTCAGGAAGTGTGAATATCTGTAGATAACCAAGTTACAATCTGCCCATTAGTTCAGGATAGGGATGAAGGAGAATTACCAGCCTAATGTCCATTTCCTGGACTGATGCATTGATTGGAAAGTAATTATCCCTTAGATTTCACACCTTTCTGGATTTTACAATACACAGATAAAAAAAGGTATAAACGTCTGTAAAAAAGGTGTATTGCTTATTTGTGCCATTTCTGATACTTTGAATTGTAATAAGTTTGTATTAAATTGCCTTAATAGTATGCTGAATTTGTTTGCTTTTGCCTTATTTCTATGCTATTTTGCTTTCGATATAATTATATGGATTGTAGCAGTTGATCATTTTCTTTAATTTATTTATTTATTTATTTATTTATACATACAACAACAAAAAAACACACACAAAAAAACACAAATACCAAATTACACACAAATTACAAAAATAACCATAGACACATAATTTTCTTGGCAAACAATAAAACATCTATTGGTCTTAACACTAAAGACCCAACTTCCCGTCTATTCCATATTTCAAATTCATATTACGTATTGCCAATACACATTTTTTTTCATAATTAAACTTATTCTCAATAAATCTAATTTCTTCTATCTACCTAGCAACTATCACTGAAGTTCCTCAAATGCTGCAAAGGAATTTAAACTACGATATTTATTTTTCAGATATTCTTTGAAAACCTCCCATTTAGAAACAAATTCCTGTTTTGATTTATTCTTTATTTTTTCTGATAAACCATCTAATTCGGCATATTCTGTCAGCTTTTGGATCCAATCTTGTATAGAGGGGATTTCATTATTCTTCCATTTTGCTGCGATCAAAACTCTTGCTGCCGCCGTCGCATATAAAAAGATACCCTTCCTCTTTTGTGGAATATCTAGATCTGTTATTCCCAGGAGGTAGGCCTCTGGTTTTTTATTGAAAGAGATCTTTAGCATTTTTTGCAGTTCTGCATGTATACTCTCCCAGAATACCTGTATTTTCCTACATATCCACCACATATGGTAGAATGTTCCTGAGTCTTCGCATCTCCAACAATTACTTGACACATTTTTATACATTTTTGAAAGTTTCTATGGTGTTGGATACCATCAATGTTGCATTTTTTGAAAGTTCTCTCTAATTGTGTAACAGTTTGTGAATTTCCAATTGATCTTCCATAAATTTTCCCATTGGGCCATGGTTATTGGATGGCCAAAATCCTGGGACCACCTCACCATTGCCACTGTTACCTCCTCCTCCTTGACTGTTCAGTCAAGGAGGAGTCGGTAAGTTTTGGAAAGAGTTTTTCTTTTAGCGTTTACAAGATCAGATTCGAATCGGGAAATTTCTGCTGAGAACCCCTTTTGTTTGTCAGATTTAAATTTTTCAAATAACTGATGGTATTGGAACCAGTCTGAAATGTGTTCTCTTATCTCCTCAAAGTTTTTTAATTTTATTTGGTTATCCTCATTTTTTAGAAGTATTTTATATGTTGGCCAGCTTTCCTGAGTATTTTTCCGTTTTACTGCTATGGCTTCTACTGGAGAAGTCCACCACAGGACTTTAGGCTCCATCAGGTCTTTATATTTTTCCCATACAGCAAAGAGTGACTTTCTTATTATATGGTTGGTAAAATTTTTATGAATTTTCGCTTTTCCATATATTAGGTAGGCGTGCCATCCCCAACGGTTGTCAAAACCTTCCAGGTCCAGGAGGTCCGGATCCTGCAACGTGCACCAATCTTTTAGCCAGGTGAAACAGGCAGCCTCGTAGTAAAGTTTTAGATCGGGTAGGGAAAAGCCTCCTCTCTCTTTTATGTCTATTAAGATCAGGTGTTTAATCCTAGGTTTCTTCCCTTCCCACAAGAATTTGGAAATTTCTCTTTGCCATATCTTGAGACAACCTGCTTCACCCAGTATCGGAATCATTTGAAATAAAAAGATTAATTTTGGAAGCACATTCATCTTTATAATGGAAATCCTACCCAGAAATGTTAATTTTAGTTTACTCCAGATTACCAAGTTTTTTCTAATCTCTAACCAAGTTTTGGTGTAATTATCCTGAAATAAGTTTATGTTCTTGGGGGTGATCCAAATACCCAAGTATTTCGCTTTTGAAGAGATTTTCAGGCCCAATATTTTTTCTAAGTCGTCCTTTTCTTCTGTGGTTACATTTTTAACAAGCATTTTTGTTTTTGTTATATTCAGTTTAAAGCCTGCCACATCTCCAAATTCTTTAATCAATTCCAGCACTCTTTTCAGACTTTCTTTAGGGTTTTCAGTCATAACAAGTAAATCGTCCGCAAAAGCTTTGATTTTATATGTTTTGTTTCCCAGAGTGATGCCTTTAACAAGCTCATCCTTTCTTATCTGATTGTTCAAGACTTCCATCACCAAGATAAATATCAGTGGTGACAGTGGGCAGCCCTGTCTTGTTCCCTTGTTTATTTTGCACTCCTCAGTAATTCTTCCGTTGATGATCAATTTTGCATATTGTTCCGAATAGATGGCATTTATTCCTTTACAAATATTTTCTCCCAGTCCGATTTCTTCCATTAATTTTTTCATAAACTTCCAGGACACATTATCAAAAGCTTTTTCAGCGTCTACCAACATAATAGCTGCTGGTTTATCAATTTTAATATCCAAATATTCTAATACATTAATCACACATCTAATGTTGGATTGCATAAATCATCCAGGAAGAAATCCTGTTTGATCTTTATGAATTATCTCTTTCAGCACCATTTTTAATCTATTTGCAAGAATGTCTGCGAATATCTTGTAATCGTTATTTAGCAGTGCAATGGGTCTGTAATTGGCCATGTTTGAGGCATCTGTTCCCTGTTTATGGATAAGAGTAATAAAGCTGTCCTTCCAGGTTTTCGGAAGCATTCCATTTGCCAGAATATTATTCATTAGGTCTTTCATGGGAAGAAATAATGCTTGTTCTAACTTTTTATAGTAATTAGCTGGAAGACCATCTGGGCCCGGTGTCTTTCCTAATTTTGATCTCTGTATAGCTTGTTGCACCTCCATAGCTGTTATTGATGAGTTCAAGATTTCAGTTTTTTCCTTAGGTATTATTGGTAGTTTATTTTTGCCCAAATAATCAATTATTTTTTCTAGAGTCTCTGGACCTTCTTTATATAGTTTTCCGAAAAAACTAGCAAAGTTTTTACTAATTTCCTTCGGTTCTTGAATCCATTTGTCTTCAATTTTAATTTTATTGATAATTCTATCTTCCTTTTTCTTCTTTAATTGCCAGGCCAGAAGTTTGCCAGGTTTATTTGCAAACTCAAAATTTCTATGTCTCAACCATTTTATCTTCCATTCTATCTCTTCAGAGATAGAAGATAGGAGAGCCAGTGTGGTGTAGTGGTTAAGAGCGGTAGTCTCGTAATCTGGGGAACCGGGTTTGAATCTCCACTCCTCCACATGCAGCTGCTGGGTGACCTTGGGCCAGTCACACTTCTTTGACCCACTCACCTCACAGAGTGTTTGTTGTTGGGGAGGAAGGGAAAGGAGAATGTTAGCCGCTTTGAGACTCCTTAAAGGGAGTGAAAGGCGGGATATCAAATCCAAACTCTTCTTCTTCTTCTTCTTCTTCTTCTTCATTTATTATCATGGAGAATTGCGTCTGTAAAATTTTTATACTTTGCTTAATTAGTTCATCATCTGGTTTTTGGAAAAGGATCCTTTCCTTTTTTCTAATTTCCTCCCAGATCTCCATTTTCTTCTTCTCCTTTATTTTCCTTTGGAATGTGTTTTGTTGTATAAAGAAGCCTCTTATGACGGCTTTACCCGCGTCCCAAACCGTCTCTAGATCTACTCCTTGATTTAAATTAAACTTAAAATATTCTTCTAAGATTTGCTTGGCCTTCTGTACAATTTTTTCATCGTTTAGCATACTCTCATTAAGTTGCCACCTTTTAACCTTTTCTTCTTACCCTTTAAAGTTAACCCAGACCGCGCTGTGATCAGAAATTGTCCTTGGATGGATTTCTGCTTTTGTAATATTATTTAATAAATCCTTTGTTGTCCAGATCGCGTCGTTTCGTCCCGCCGATTTATGTGGCTCTGAGTAATGTGTAAATTCTTTCTCTGTTGGATTCTTAAACCTCCAAGCGTCGAACAAATTCAGGAGTTCTATTAATTGGAAAAATGTAGTTGGGAGTTTGTTCTGCCTCTTTTCTTTCTTCTTTATTGTTCTGTCCATGTTTGGATTGACTACTCCATTAAAATCTCCTAATAATATAATTCCCCCCCTAAATATTCTATGACTTTTTCTTCCAGGAATTGATAGAATTCGGATTTTCTTTCATTTGGTGCATAAATTCCAATAACTATCACTTTTTCATTATTGATCTTAACCTCTATAATCACTGTTCGACCTTTTTCATCATTGTAAAGCAGTTTTGGCTCCAGCTGAGGTTTTACATAGATTACCACCCCTCTCTTTTTTTCTTTACTTGATGCAATAAACTCAATCCCCAATCTCTTATTTATTAATACTCTTTTATGTTTTTCCGCTACATGAGTTTCTTGCAGACAGATTAGATCATATTTTTGCTTAACCAGAATATGTTCCACCTTGTTCCTTTTTGATTTTTCATTTAAACCATTTATGTTCCAAGTAATAAATTTATAATCCATACTTTATTTCTTATGATACGTCAACGGGTTAAAAAAAAAAAAAATACACATTCAAGGTCTCAGTATACATTTAATAAATTCCCTTCTTAGATCTGTCTCCTAACTCTCAACTGTTTGTTCAATTTCCTCTGATTCTCCCAACAATTGCCTTTTTCCTCCGAGGTCTTTCCGGTACTTTCTCCAGAACTTGTCCGCATCTAATGCCGACAAGCACTTTCTACATTTCCCTTTAAAGAAAAAAGAGATGCCTCCCGGGTACTCCCACCTATAGTCCACTGCCTTTGCCTTTAGTGCCTCGGCCAGAGGTCTATAAGCTTCTCTCTTTTTTATCAACCGATTTGGAATAATCTTGTGGACGATAATATCATTTCCTTCCGATTGAAATTTCTTCTTGTTATTAGCTTGTAAAATTCTATTTCTGAAATCCATAGAGTTAAAAGAGACTAAACAAGCAGTTGATCATTTTCAATGCTGCTATTATTATTGTCAGCCACTTTGAGCTCAGCATTGTTGCTGGAAAAGTGAAAAACAAATATTAAGTTAAATTAAATCAATATTTTGTGATAGCATACATATTTAAATATTTTTCTTATAGGATTTAAAAACAAAAACAAAAGACAACCACACTTGACTGTGGAAATGGAATGGACCTTATAAGTTTATATGTGCAACATTGGCATGGTCTGGGAATAGACTCATCTATCCATTCGTAGTCCGGGAAGTGTGGATG